ATGTAGAAGATTTATAAGAAAATTTCATTTTAATGTTTGCATCAAAATTGCTTCTACAGAATAAACAATAAATGTTACCTCAAATATTCTAGCACTGCATCGAGGCAGCGAGGATTCGAACCTAGAAAGTCCTGCTTCCTAGACATGTGCGTCATCCATTCCGCCACTGTTGCAAAGGTCCGGTCCATTTAATATGTATAGACAATTGTAGATAATTTTTAACCCAAAACTTGTTTTATCTAAAAACCTAAATTATCACCTTAATTATTATAGTACAACAGTGATCGAGGTACTATTCCTAAAAGTAATGTAGTGACCATAGTGATGCTATTTATCCATCGCTCTACTGGTCCTCTAAGTCATTCCTGGACAAAATCGTAAGAAACTGAATAATATGGGCAACAAATTTTTTTTCACCTGAAAAGTAACTTAATGTCTAATATGCGTTGACCCCATAGCTTTATGTCCTTCTCGTTTCGTACATAAAATTTTCTCATCCGTTGTTACTTGATTAATAATCCGTTGTTACTTGATTGCCAAAATGTAAATCATTATGTATGTACAATGTATGAATGTTTTAACTAATGTAGTAACATTATGTACGAATGAATTAATACGTAATATAAATTTTAAGGATATATCTTAGGTATTTCTTAGTAACAATTAAAAAACTATACTACGTTTCTTTTTATTTATCTTTTTAAACGTGCCAAAAATTATTTATCGAACATTAATTTTGGAGATTGTGTATTTCTAAATTTTGTAGGGTTATCAAATAATTAATTATTAAACATTAATTCTTTGTATTTAAATTGATCATTTTATACTATAAGATGAAATAAATATTAAATATATCATCTTAATGTTTATTTAGACCTTATTATTCCCTTTTAATGCAAAATTGAAATACATTTCAACATATTTTAAAAATTATGACAAAGAATTTTACGTACATGCCTACTGAATACAATGAATGAATCAATGAATAAAAATATGTTGTTATGGAAATTTATATTATTTTGAATGAATATTTTTGAAATTTATTGAACGCTCACATAAAATAACATTTTAAAACGTATAAATATTATTTTAATGAAGCTGTTTTAAGCTGACTCATAATTAATTTTTAAATTAGATAATTTATTCCTGTATTTTATTCTTTTTTTCCCTTTTCAGCTATTTCCCTAGAAACTCATTCTTCATATTTCAGTTTTTTTAACCTTAGACTTTAAGAAAACTAAATGATTATTGAATAACCAAGCATAAAAATATGAACTTTAAAAAACTTTGCTATTAATTGTAATTTGTAGATAAAGAAAATAAAATATTTGATCTCGAATAAGTATAAAGTCACATTTCTTTTAATTTAAAACACACCAAGGAAATTAGAGGACAAAAATGATATTTCAGACATTTTTCGGAATTAATAACTTTTCCTACATTAACGTCAGATATATATTAAGGGAATATTACTATTGTCTTATTCATTTTCATTTATTAAATATCAATGCAGATCTGTTCCCAATGGACTCAAATTCGCCTCAAGCACTGGTTGAGAAGGGTGACTAATTTTGAGTACGGTAGAATTAAAAAGAATTATTTGCTTGCTTTTAATAATGCATCTATTGTTTGCTAATATCAGATTTTGCTCTTTGAAATACATCTTTGGCTTTTACAAAAGTAAATCCTACTGTATTTTCTAAGTATTCTAAGAATTCTTTTGATTAAGATGTTATCTTAAGAGTACAATAAACTTTCTAAAATTATTTACTGCATTTCATTATAAAATTTAATTAATTTGAATTTTGTTTTCTTTTGCCTCCAAGGAGTTACCTTCCTTAGATATTACGGATTTTATGCCTCAGAGGTATTCTAGTGCTCTTTTTCTTTCCCACGGGGTTCACTGTCTTTGGTAAATACGGATGATACTACTCTGGGATACCCTAGCAATCCTTCTCTGTTTACATCCCTCCATCTTACCAACCAATTTCCCCCTTTTTTTTCCAATGTCTAGATTCCAGATACTCTTTATTTTGGCGCAGCATAGCCATATCTGGTTCTAAAGACATTGAAACCAATAATCATTCTTTTCGTGTTTTTATGTTATTCTGCTGCTGATTGTTTTGTTTTTGATCTAAAATAGCTAATATTTAAAAACTCAAAATTTTTATGGTTTTTCTTTATCATATAGTACTTTTCTTAGGAAAAAAATTTAAAACAATAACTTACACATTTTCTGATATTGGAGATTGTTAATCATTTGGAAGGAAGGGAGAAAAACTTTTATTTTAAAATAAAATCTTTCCTTTAAAAGAGTCACGTATAAAAACTATTTCAACAGACTTGCAGAAAAGAGAATACATATAGTCGAAATTTATATAATCTCAAAATATAAAGAAAGAATTTTTATAAAATATTCCACACGTCTTATTTTATAAAATTAAAAATTCGAAAAAACGTTTAGTATAAATACTAAAAATTTATAGTTAACGCTACATTAACTAATTCAAATAGAAATTAAATTATACTATTAATGATAAATAATATATAAATTTTTATCCTTCCGGAACAGAGAGATAATAAATATAAAACTTATGAAGGTAATCCATCATGAAATATACAATAATTTAACTATGAACTTTTACGATTTTATTCCGAGACAAATATATTTAAGATTTAAATTTCTATTCAACAATAGTATCTAATTAAGGAAAATAAACCCACTAAATTTATTCAGAAAATCTGTTTCAAATTTCTTTAACAAGTTATACGTAATTTTTATATAGTAAAAAAAGTTCAAATTTTCTAGAAATTTTCTTGGCAATTTAAAGAATATAAAATCAAGTTTAGATTTAAAAAAAATTACTCAAATAATTCAAAGAAGTACAATTGTTCTGGCTAACTTATTTAAAGATATCGCAACGATGCAATTTAATAAATATAAATGTTATGGAATCAATTTCACTCTATTTCAACTAGTTCATTTGAAATGTTTTAAATTTTTCGCAACTGTTTGCATTCATTTAATTAATCAAAATTACAAGAAAAATTGGAATGTTTTTGAACTGTTTCGAGATGGTCGTTCAGAAATTGCTTATTCGATTAAAATATCGATGAATGTTTAGTATACATAATCATAACAAAAATCTTGCAGCATCGAATTCATCACATATCATCAGTTATCTATTTTCACTGCGTGAAGTAAAGATAATGACATGCAAGTGATTGATTGTGCTTAAAAGGGATTGCGTTAGTATTCAAATGTTAGTATCAAATAGTTACGAAGAATTTTATATAGTTTTTACCGGTAATTCGATACATTATGTATACAAACTAATCGTATAATTTCCCCTCGGCATCTATGCCTTAAGGCGCTTGCCTTCTTTAGGTAGGTATGTGCATCATGGCCCCTAGGCATCCTAGTGAGCTTTTTCTTCCCCATGGGATTTAATCTTCGTGGTATAAACGCGTAACGTAGGTCTGGGATACCCTAGCAATCTTTCTCTATTTTCGATCCTCCTTCATACCAATCAATTAACTATCTTCAATTTTTCAGACATGTAGATCACAGCTTTACATAGGTGGTTACAGCATAGCTACATCTGGCTCTTGCGCCATTAAAAATACTATCATTCACTCTCTGTAATTTCGTTATGCATAAAAGGCAAACTTGACTTACTGATCAAAATAGAAAGCAGAAATACGACTTAAAATCCGTATCCGGCTCATACACAAAGTATTAATAAACTCGTTTTAAAAAGATATAAACATTTTCATCAAAGAAACACAAGTTGAAATTGTATTCAAATGGTGTAAGATTTTTACAAAAGAGTTAGAAATTTGAAATAACTTTTTCTACTGTGAGATTATTCTCTACATAAATTTGAAAACAATTGCGAGATTGAAGAGTGCTAATTAATTACATTCCCTTGGTGCTTAATTTCTAAACACTGATCAGTTGATCATGTATTTCATTATGTATCATAAATTTGTTTTCTTTGTGAGAATTATTAATTTATTAGTACTATTTATAATATTTATTATAAAATTGCTGAAATTTATTTATATTATTTATGTTTAGAAAATTGCTTATAAAAATATACAAATATAAAAGAATCATATAAATTGTATATTATTATTATTATTCTATTTTATTTTCACCATATAAAGGCTTCTTGAAAAATTTTACTAAATTACAGATATCAGAAAAACTTGGTAAATTTCCAGTCACTAGTATTTAACATTTTATGTGATTTACTGTACGTTTTCTGAAAAAAGTATTTTGAACCAATTCTTCGAGTTTAAAATGCATTCCGTTAGTGGAAAATAGATAATCTGGATAAAATACCACAATATAATAAAGAGTCAAATAATGTAACAAAAAGTAATATTTTATAGTCTTTTTTTTGTTTAATTTTGCTCAAGAAAAAAATGGAAAATGTTTCAGTAGATTAAAACCCTTAGGGTACAAAACCGGAGATAGAACGAAACGAATGTATAATTTGTCGCATCTTGGAAAACAAATTTTCCTTTCAAAATACTGCATATTTTGTGATGGAACAAATCCATTAATATCATTGAAAAATAGAATTGAAAGAGATACATTCCCAGGAGATGATTTCTTTGTATCATTTCGCTTTGAAAAATGGAAGTAGATGGAAAATATGGTAAGTATAGAACATGTGAACATGAAGCGGAAGAAAGTGGTTTTAATAGATAAAATGTATGATCGTCAAATTCATATGTACACAGATTCATAAATATTCAGTTAGTGGGAAAGCAGGCACTTGATTTCATTGAAAGAATTTCAGTTATTCGAAGAATACTACGCATGTATTACATCAATATCTCAGGGCAAATTCTAAAACTTATCGCTCCTCATTGATTATTTTATACTAGCTCGTATACCCGTTCTTCGCACGAGTTAATTGAAAAATATAACTATTCACCACAAATATAAAACTCTTTAAATAAGAACTAAGTTTTAAATAAATATTTTTAGTAATATTAATTAAACCGCCAATCGGCCACTAAGGAAATATGATTTAGTAAATATAATGGCAAAAACAAAGACAAATACAAAAATCTAAACTCAATGAGACTCAAGTCTGCAGTTAATTAATTTTTTTAAAGCTTTCATGATTAAAAGAGATACATTATTATTATTTAAAAT